GAGTGTTCCATTTGAAAAATCAAAGTTGCTACTGCTTTCTAATAGAAGCGGCAACACCGCATTGTCGAAAATATTTTAGTTGGCTAGAGAATGTCCGAATATGCCCTCCATTAAATTTTCAAAGTGCTCCGTTGTCTGGTTCACCAGAAACGTCTAATGTGCCATCCACCGTGAATCAGCCTGTAGAGGTACGAAGAAACAGCGATGAAAAGGAAATTTTCATATATAAAAGCCCTCCTTTTACCCCCAATTGAAATATTTGAAAATCCTTTCTCAGTTCACATTTGAGACCTCAAAAGCACATATATACCAAATTGTTGTTTCCTAGGACTTAGCAGTACGGAGAAATAAAGATGAATGGTTGACTGTTAAGTGACTTTCGCATTTATAAGTTTAGATAATGAAATCCATCTAGTTGTCACTAACATTCAAAATATTAAATCACTCACCTTCCTTAATATTTCTATAATCAAATTGTCCTTTGATTCCGTGGCCATTGTGTCTTATATCATTTTAGTTCTTTTCCAGAATACTGCACCCTGCACCTATACAATTGAAAAACAAATCAATTTGTTCGGGTGTATACTATTTATTTTTATCAGTTCGACGTTGGTGGTATAGCGATAAAATAATATTTTCGGTCGGTTTGATATCTAATAGTGTAACTCTCACAAAGTTATCAATATCTACTACATATGTGTCATTCGTGTTTGTTCAAATATACCGTGTGTGAACAAATCTATAAGACGAATCATAATTTCTGAAAAATCAGGTGTATCTGAACTAAATTCAGTATTGTTATATGGTATGTGAAGAGGAGAGTTTTCGTATATTTATCGCTTTCTGGTCACTTCTGGTTTCCTAGAAGAAGGATCTGTTTTTGAATTTTTAAGTGAAACAACATGTATATCTTAGATACTACTGCAGTAATGGGAAATAAACGCCAAATGACTAGTGAAAATTTGCTGTCTAGTTCACATGTACTTTTTTTTGTAACATTTTTCAGCCCTGTCCAAAAATTACGACCAAGGTGTCATTCGATTCGTACTTTTGCCTAGAAAGTTTAAGGAAAGGTCCGAAAACGCGCCGATAAAAATTACAAAAGTTATAAACAATTGAGTGAAAAAAAATGGGGCTTAATCTAGGAGATGACTTGAAAACTATATTAAGTGATAAATTGGACCATAGTCAACTATTAAATTTCCTTAGTGACATAAATGTAATGAATAAAATTTAAATGACATTATAATATTGTAATAATTATGCAGATTTGTAATTGACATTCAGCTAGTAACCCTCTGTGGTTGAAGCTAAATAAATATAAAAAAAAAAGTTTATCACCCCTTTGGACCTGTACGTTAAGGAGGTTGCGTTAATAGCCATGGTACGATTGTGCACGGCTGGTGTGAGCCTCGAAGTAGGAATGGGCCAATTGAAGCTGAGCCTATGGCGACAAGGGCTTACTGCGCAACCTCTGTTACAACTACCAGTGATGCAATTGATGACAGAGACCTATAAGAAGGCATGTTAGACATCGTGGTTCATCCCTACTGCAGTTCAACATCTGTTTGGTATCAAGCTTCGAAGGGTGAATAAACGGAGTGAGCCAAGCTTGGAAGATTCTGCCAGAAGTTCATAAATCTTCTTGTCATTCAGATGTTTAAAGTCCGATAAAGCTGCTTGCAGTACCCTCCTTCACAAGAGAGTCAGCAGCTTCGTTGCCTTTCAGGCCATTATGGCCAGGAATCCAGACCAGAGACAATCTGTTAAGACTTCCTATCGAGGAGAGTCGTTTTTGGCAATTTGCTACCAATTTAGACGTTGCCCGGTAGGAGCCAAGAGGTGCCAACGCCGCTTGACTGCCCGAGAATATTTTTATTGGCTTGTGTGCGAGAACACAGAGTCAGATGCTACAAATGCAATACGCATATATACAGACGGCTCAACGATTAAGTGGGGAATGGGAAAAAATACCAGCGTGGTCCAAACAGAGCTGGCCGGTATCTCAATCGCCACAAAAGAAGTGACCAGGAAATGAATTTCTGGAAAAAACATAACAATCTGCAGTCTCAGCAGACAAGCCCTTTTAGCCTTGAACAGGGCTGGTACTAGAGTGCCACCAAGATTTAGCGAAAGCCTCGGTAGATAATAACATCATCCTGAGGTGGGTTGAAGGACACGATAGGAGTAAAGGTGATCGCATTGCTGACTCTTTAGTTAAGGAAGCGGCTGGACTAAGAATTTTAGGACCCAGTGGCATCTACGGGCTGATGACTTGGACAATTGCGGAACTAGTCAAATGTTACACCCATGCTCAATCCTTGAAGAGATGGGATGGAATCAAAGGATGTAATCTTGCCAGGATCACCTTGGGCGACCCACCAGATTTAACACCACTGGACTTCTATCGACTACCGATAGCTGGTTAGTCGATGCGTATATAATTGACTCTGTGGAGAAATTATTAAATTCACCTTTGATGTCTAGAAAGGCAGCTACTGTCATTTCTTTGAGCCCCGAAGTGGTCGTCCTTCAGTAATCCAGGACGAAGATTGCTCAGCCAATACAATTTTTTTTGGGATTGGATCGTCACGTGGTTGGACACCGATGAGCCACCCAGGNGGAGACAAAAATTCTGTTTATATCAGAAGAACAGCCCCACACTGCTATATTGTTGGAAATATGAGGATAGAATATGGCATAATAAACATTTAACAGCTGAGATTTATTAAAAATTGAAGTTAACTGTCTTAGGGCATAGTATGCGCTGTTAAGTTTATTAAGTTTATTATTCACTTGATTAATGCTAGATTGAAATGACTTATCACTATTTATGCATATGCCAAGAAATTTAGTTAATTGTTGTTAATAACATATGCAGATGTCGAATGTCACTACCAATCAGTCCAAAATTGGTTTTCGTATCTGTTTATTCGGCACAGCAAGGATTGAATTTGTAAACTATTCTATGATAAATTTTCATGTGTGATTATTAAAAATATGGTATTAATCCCCCACCACCCGTAGACGTGATTGTAAAGAAACATATACTTACGTTTTTATTTAAGTTTCACTAGCCCTTGGTCATTAATAACTGCATTACACAATTCCCATCTAGTCAACAACTAGAATGTTTGTTAGTTGTCCAATTTGACAGCAATTAGTGAAAATATCATTCATAACAATGAGTTTATTTCAAGCACGAGTATTGAAACGAAACAACTGACTCATACTCCGTCAACATTTACGGATCAATGTGCGAATAAGGTTTCTGATACAACTAATGAATACACATTCTTAGGTCTCACATTCTGCACGCGAAGTTACTAGCTAGCTGTATAAAAATATCAATAAGACGATTTTGTCCGCCAACACTATGATAAAAGGACCACACGTTGGAATATGCTGTTTATTTTCACGGCATAGTTATACACACAACGTCGATTACAGCTACATTCCGCTGATAGTCCGGTCAATTTAGATATTCGAAGCTATCTAAATTCCCACCAAGCTGAAAATCAGAAAAATTGTTTGAAATGTAAGTAAAAATAAATTTTGAAAGTTCCCCATCTTTCCCCTGTATGGAAAAACTTTTATTCAAGGTCAAATATCAAAAAAATTAGTTTTTCACGATTTTCAGCAAAACGGTAAGTTTTATCATAAAATTACTTCAGACAAAAATTGTAGATAAATTCTCTACAAAAAATGTACCAATACTTTTTTTCCTACGAGCCACCGTTTTTGAGATATAACGATTCAAAAAGTTGTAATCGTCATAATATGCACACGTTTCCACGCCACCTATGGGGTAATGTAATTAGCGCGTTTTTTCAACATGGTTTCCCCAATAGGCCTCTTCCACGGGTCAGTTGTGATCCTGTTCAATTTGAAACTATTGCAAAATGATAGATATTAGCAGAGATTGAACAAATAAAAGCAATTCAAGTTAATAAAAAGTAATGAAATTCAATCGTCCGAGTCGTAACTTAAAAATGCTTCCTCTTGTTCTTCTTCCTGATCTTCTTGTTCTTGTTGGTCTTGTTCTTCTTCAACTTCATCCATGTAAGTACATGTAAACAGCGTTAATGGCGATGTTTCGCATGTCGCCTCGTTGGAATCAAACGGATCATCCACTCTTGGTAATTCAATATTAGAGCACGACCGGCCTTGACAATGTGTACATGCCAGAGAACAAAACAGTCCGGCTTTTTTGCAACCCTATTTAGCACAGCACGTCTTTTTGCAGTTGCAAAAAATTGTGTTTAGTAGTTTTTCCGGCGCAAGTTTATCACCCGGAGTTACGGTCCTGTCACGATCACAGAAAGTTGTGCTCATATTCANAAATCCTCACTTAACAATTGTAATTTTTTACCTGCACCAAAATCCTTCAAAAACATTTTTCAAAAGGTGATTCCGAATCGAATGAGCTATCGCTCATATTTTTAGGACCTTTATCTCTATTTCTCATGTTTTTGAACTTGTTGATTAGACTTACATCGCAGCTGAATAATAATTTATTTACGCAATTATCAATAGCACAAACATTAAATGGTCCTACGAGCCTTTGGTCCATTTGGCTCGGGACTGTAGGGTCCCGTAGGGTTCAGTAGGGTAGGCACTGAAGATATTCAGTGCACCACCGTTTCCAATAATCTTGAATGATGCAATCCATCATTTGGTAGCGCGTGAGACAATTTACTGGCACATCCTGTACATTTTGTGCTGGAAGTTTATCTTATGTTACACCTACGGTGAGAAAATGTGCAGACGTTAATGCAGTAGGAGCTAGAGGATCATCATTCAATGAACACAATGGTCTGCTATTTAACACTGCCTCAATCTGAACAAGTACGGTGTTCAATTCTTCATACGTGAGCACTTGCTCTCCAATGAAACGTTGATGATGTCCTTCAACACTTTTGATGTTAGCTTCCTAAATTCCACCGAACCAGGGACTACTTGACGGGTTAATTTTCCACTCAACCCCTTTTCCAGCCAATTCTCAGTCAACATGCGATTGTAATGAAGTAGAATTGATCGGTTCCTCTATTTCGTTCAATTTCCTACGTGCCCCAATAAAATATGTACCTCCATCTAACAGAATTAATGACCACGGACCTCTGCGAGAAATGAAACGTTTGTATGTGGCAAAAAAACATTCCGTTGACAAATCAGAAGCAAGTTCTATGTGTATAGCTTTCACTGAAAGACACACAAACAAACATATGTATGCTTAAGTCAAATTGCGTTGTCCTCGTCATCGAGAACAGTGTGATGGAAAAGGGACGAGCATAGTTAACCCCAACACGTTCAAAAACATGAGATTTTTCAACTTTAAATCCAGGAAGCGGAGCCATTTTTGGTATTGATGGTTTTGGACGTGTACGAAAACAAGTATTGCAGCGATGAATTTGAGCACGAATACGTGTGATTGCATGTGGAATCCAATATTTTTGCCGAATTTGTGAAAGAAATATTTGCTGTCCCGTATGAAGATAATCAACATGGTATTGATCAATAACTAGATCTACAAACTTTTCTTTTGATGGAAGTAATAAGGGATGCCGTTGTTCATGTCATGAATTTAGTGCGTTTTGAAGTCGACCTCCCACCCTAAGAATATCTTCACTCAAAAACGGGTCTAGATAGCGTATATGACTGTTAANAAAGAAGAGCCAAATTTTTTTTAGTTTTGCTTATATGCGCACTTAGTATTTTTGACCATTTAATAAATTTTGTTGTAAGTTACATTCGTTTAATAATCACCCGTCAACTTTTTTTCCCTAAAGCGATCTGAAAAAAGATTATTGCCATTTTTGAAAATATCCCTAGACTTTTCCGATGTGTGTATATGCTGTTATTCATAGCAATTTTCTCAACGTAGAAACACGATCCAACAGGTTCGATAGAATATTTTCAGATAGCGTACTGGCAACAAATAAAGTAACTTCAGTTTCCATTTCTGGTATTTCTAAAGATTCATCTATGGTGTCCAGAGCCCAACTCAATTCATTTTCTGCAAGCCGTGATGGACCATTCCACCATAATGAATCTGAATGAAAAGTAATGTTGATGTTACTTTGCTGAATAATAATTAGCTCAAAACGAAATTATTTATTTTAAAATTTTCGCCACGTTCCTAATGTAAACAATGAGGTAATGAATTCATCAACAATAAAATCATTTGAATGAAACATACAGTAAGCTCATCAATAGTACTAATTATTCGTGAATGAAATAGTATCATGAGTAGTTTATTGGTTTCGAAAACAATAAATACAACTGCATTTTATGTATCACGAACCCGCTTATTATGGTGGATTTTTTACAGGTACTCTTTACTGATATGAACAAAGACGTCAATAATGTGATTCAATCAAATAAATATCATTTCGAAATGCAATCGAATATTTCAATTGAAAGGGGTAACTTTTTAGGAAAGATTAGTTTTTGTTCATCTTTTTACCAAAAGTCAAGGCAACTTCCAAAGAAAGGAAGAAAGAAACTTATTTCAAAATAAACACTCTTTGCTAAAAAGTGTAGACAATGCATGAGTGTTACTTTATTTTATGTAATTCTAATTTTATGTGTTCAGACCCATCTGTTGAAAGTAGTTGTTTCGAGAAGGGTTTGTCTTTCAGTTTGTATCTGAAAATAACTTCCATGATTGATCTCCTCACCTATGTAATGATTTTATTTTGGAATCAATTGCTTCTACGGAAGTGAATATTTGGGAAAGGAAAGTTGTTGTTTTCTACTTCTCCATCTTTTATCTTTATGAAAAAAAATTTAAAATCTTCCAAAGAAGGGAAGTAAGCAATTGATTTCAAGATGAACTTTTCACAAAGATGTGTAGTTTATACAGAAAAAGTAACTTTTNCTAAATAGTGTAATGGATTGGTCGTCGAGGTTCTACAGAATGGCCAACCCGCTCGCCAGATTTGACACCTTCTGGACTTTTTTTATTTGGCTATTCGAAGCGAAAGATGTACGGAACTGAACCTGTTTCAATATTGCATAAACGGCAGAGAATAATAAATATTTGAAAATGTTCGGTGTGTATTATCGGATAGGCTGTTCATGTGTCAAAAAGTTCAAGGCAACCATTTCGTGCATCTTCTGAACTGGCAATTAATTGCCTGAATACATTGTAGTTGAAGTAGTAGTTGAAGATAGATAGTAGTTGCAGTTGAAGATATTGACACTATATTCTAGGGTTGTGAAGCATTTGTTAGGACTTCCAAAAGATGTGTCACACCTTTCAATTTTTTTTCAGATGGCGCCCACTCGCCATTTTAAAAGTTTCATCTATCATTTTCAGTTCAAAATAAAGTATTCATGCTTCAATTTCATCATCCCACATTTCAATATTTTGAGTTGGCCCGTTCAAAAAAAAGGGAGGGGACATTAAAAAAGTCCACTGTATATCTATCTCCTAATTCCGTATCATATGGTTTTTTGCATAATTTATAAAACTTTTGGTAAATATTCGTTTTGAGGTTACCCGTCGATTTTGAAAAAATGTTTGAGTGTACTTACGTATTGTGGTGCATAGTTACGAATCCGAAAGAAAAAAAACGGCGCTCTTCCTTATTTACAAAGTTACGGCCCTTCGAAGTTCATAAAAGGGCAACTTTTCAGCCTTCTTTTTCATAAGATAAACTATTTTAAAACACAAGCATTATTCACGAGGTCACCTTTACAACTCATTCCTCCTTCCTTTTCCTCCTTTCCTTTTCACTCCAACAATCAACATTTTTCCAATGAAATTGTTAAAATATTTACGGAACTGCTTTTTGTTTATACAGGGCTATGCAAATTCGTTTCTGTACATGGAGATATCGTAAACAATAAGAGATAGTGTGTCGGTTAAACTATGGCAAAGTTGTGTATTTTAGAGACCTATTCAATGATGTAAAGGAATTTGGTTCTGGAGATATACAGGAAAAAGCAAAAATTCCCAAATTATTTTTTGCCTATATCTTCTTTATTCGCAGACATAGTGAAAATCTGTCAACATTTTTCTATTGGCACTTGATGTGGGCTATCAGAATATGTCCATGAATCTTTCATATACAGGGTGTCCCTGGACTTCCCCTTTTCCTCTCGGGAATGTATAGATGGGGTCAAAATATCACCAGTACTTCATATAACTTTTTTTCCTA